AAGATGACTTCTATTAACAGCTTGATTTGACATTGAGGAACATAAGGATAAAGTTAAAGAACTAGCCCAAGGGTAGACAAGTTAGTAAGAGACAGAGCAGAGACAAGTACCCAGGAGTTCTGGTTTCAAATCCCCTTCTTTCTGGTCCAGTCCCATCTGTGTTGCTATTATTGTATTTATAAGTTGTCCTAATTAGCTTATCCTCCAATCTGCCCCTTCAGTTCAAGAAGAAATTGTCGAAATGTAGAACATTCCCTGAATAGAAGTCTTCTGCCCAACATCATTACATGCTGTTTAGTTCTGATCGCCTTGAACACAGTGAAAGCCACAGGAATAAAGAACAGTTATGACACAAGTTATGACAACAGAACATATCCAGACTGGCACAAGGACAGAGGGTGCAGGAAAAGGGGATCTACTCCTTTCCACAGTAAATAGTCAAAGAGAAAAAAATCCCCCAAAAGTATCAAAATAATTTCCCAAATGATTATATCAGGAAGAAAATAATAAAACACTTGCAAAACTAAAATAACAAGGCAATAAAATACAGAGGAGCAGAGACAGACTATAAATAAGATGAAAGAGAAGAGAGCCTTATATGCATTTTTTTGAAAGAAAAGTTACAAGAGTAGTGACAGCAAAAATTAAAGAAGGGTTAACATAATTAGAAGCCACTGGTGACTTTCCCACATACTATAATTGCCATTTTAAAGGTACCTTCACATACACACACATGGGCTCTCTTGCTCTGCCTTTCTCTCTCTCTTTCTCTCACTCTCTCTCTCTCTCTCTGAAACAAGCTACAAGCTGCATAAGTTGTTTAAGCTGTTCTGAGTGGATCAGTCAATCCCAATTCCCAATGTACAAAACAGGCACATTTTTGCATAAGTGACTGGGAATTAAGGGAACCTTAAGAACTGGATGAGTAGTGGCTAGGTCACATGATCTTGGAGAAAGATCAGGGTTTCAATGTTTAGTATACTATCTTTGGCACATAATCATCTAGCCCATATTTGGGTACATCTAATGATGGGAATCTCACTATCTTATAAGGCTATTTGTTGGAGGTTGGGTAAGATGAGATTAATGAGTACCTACTAGGTGCCAGACACTCTATCAGGCATTTTATATGCATTGATTCCATTTAATCTTCACGATAATCCTGTAGAGTAGTTAGCACCACCATTTATAATTGATATAACGGAGGTACAAGAAGCAAAACGTCACTTGCTTGAAATCATATGGTTAGTGAGTGCTGGAACCAGGATTTGAGCCCAGAATTGTTTGACTACAAACTTTACGCTTTATCCATTGTTCCGTACGACTTCCTTCTGCAAGGAAACTGTGGGAAAATCTGAAATGTAGGAGGATACTCTCTGTCCTGTGCAATCCTCCCATCAACTAAGTAAGTTACTGGCAAAATAGAAACTGAGTTTTATGGGATATGACTTGTTCTTAGAAAGCCAATGATGACCCCTGTGGCCACTGTATCTCTTTCTAAATGTTCACAGGCTGTTTAATAATCAAGTACGGAATTTTGACAAGCTCAATGGTAATAATGACATAAATATTACCAATATGGAATCTGGAGCCAGCTTATCTAGATTTAATTCCTAGCTCTATCATTTATTAGCTATTTCACCTTGGGAAAATTATATAACTTATCTAGGTCTCACTTTACATATCCTTAACATGGAAATAATAATAGTACCTACCTCATAGGTTTGTTGTGAGGATTAAATTAATAAGTGTAAAGTTCTTAGAACAGAATCATAGAAGTATTCAATAATTGCTAGTTCATTAACATTTTATTGTCAATCTCTACTTTGCAGAATATATTATTTTCTGTTTCGAAAACTGGTACATTTTCCTAACTATAGTCTTCTCATGGATCTTCTAGGGCCCATAATTCTGTCAAGATAACCTATGTTAATTCCACTGGGGACATCTTAGAATTATTTCAGTGCCCTGGAATGTATATATTTTTTAATTACATCATATTTAAATTCTGTTAGACTAGAGTCGCTATGAAAGTAGAGCTGGTTGGCACAGGAAGAGGGGCTCAATAAATACCGACAGCATGAAAGAATTCAGAGCAGTAAAATACTCTCTTACAACCTCAGATCCTTTGGGCTTCAATTCCCTTTGAATCAGGTTTATGCCTTCTTTTCCTTGATAGAGAAGGAATTTATATTCCTGTTATCAGTAAACCATCTGCCTCAAACAGGGGGTTGTCAGACTATGACTTCTTTTTTCTTCTTTATTTGAACATATCTTTTAAAATAATTAAAAATAGCATTTTTAAAAACTAACTTTGACTCATTCTAGAACTCATGAAACTATTTTGTCACTCCCGTTAAATATTATGTGTAATATTATTATATTACATATTATCACATGTAAAATAATTATATATTTATAATATATATTATAAAATTTAAAATATATAGTAAATATTTTAATAATTATTTTTATATAACTTATATATTTATATTATATTATTATTACATATTATCATATGTAAAATATTATATGTTATTTAGCCACTTGCTAGGGGTCTGTTTCCTCCCTTTTAAATATGAGCTCATCAGATATTAATGTGGCCATATTTGATTATTTAGTATCCTTAACTCCTTTATTCCTGGTAAAAAGGATTACTGAAGTTTTGGGTATCCATTTAAATTGTGTGCCTGAGGTGAGTGAGGTGACAGCCTCACTTACCTTGGCCCAATCCAGGCAACCCCTTCCTTTCCTCCATGGATTCTCTTTGTCAAAGGAATTTTCACCTCCAGAAAGCCTAGTCCACTCCTCCCAGCTCCATCACAAGAAGAGAGTCTTTTGCAGTAATGGCAAAACGTCCCTAAACAACCCAGCAGACAAAATACCTTATCTTTTTGCATACCTTCTTTTGGCCCCATGATCATTTTTCCAAAGTTTATCCCTATTTGCTGAATGGAAGGGCTTATTGTAGATACCAGATGGAAATCTTCAAAACAAACATCAGGTAGTTTTAATGGCTTTTGAATAATTAGGCTGTAACTGCTTGTGTTCTGAGAAGCCAGTGTCAAGAACACCCAGGTATAGCAAGTTAGTAGCCTTTATAATCCAGACTCTTGGCTGGCTGTGTCTTTGGAAGAAGGCTTATGGTTCTTGCTAAAATAAGAAAGCTCCCTTCTGTGGGAAGCTATGACTGCTTCAAGGTTTCTCTTGTTTTCACCATCCCTGTTGTATGCTTCACCAACCCTGCCAGGTTGGCTGGTTTGAGTCCCCATCCCTGACTTGACTTCTAGTTTCTTCCTAATCATTGGTTCCCACTATCTGGCTTAGACTTGGATCATTACTCCATCGTGGTCTTCCACTGTCCCTTGGGTTCTGAGTTAAGCCCATTGTTTATCTTGTTTCTTCCCGTTTATTCCTAGCTTCTGACTCACCGTTTTGTGTTCTGGGTCTTGGTCTATCTCTTATCGCCACTGCTTTCTAGAGACTAGTTTCACATTTTAGTTAAAGTAACCCCAGCCTTGGCTAACAGATGCCAAAATTAACAGGGTCTGGGGGTGCAGAACCATAAAATATGCCATTGTTCTGAGTGTAAACACCTTCGTGGGAAGAATAGGTACATTACTGTTGGTGACATAGCTGATATGCTGCGAATTTCCATGGCTGTCTAAATTAACCCTAAAAAATCCTACCTCCTAGTTTTATGAAAATCCTGAGAAGAGTTGGGGGAGCTAAAAAGATGCATTAATGTTTGGTTGGGTTTCAGATTAATGAAAGTTCTCCCTTTCAGGGCCAGCTCCATTCTGAGGTAGTTATTATCCCCATTAACTGACTGGCTATTGGTTCCAGAGTTGACATTCAGAGCTTATCATCAAATATGGAAGCAGTCTGAACCTAAGCTCAGCATTTTTCCCCCTCATGCCACTGTCAAAAGCAAATGGATAAAGATTCAATACAAGATATGGCACATACAGGCACACACAAAGGACAGGGAGCTTAAAACAACTGTGTGGTTCATGTTCCAGCCCAGAAAAATATCAGTATTTACCCTGTTTTTTTGTGACTCAGCACTCCTTTTCAGAGGCATTCACTACTGGATGAGGTAGAGGACAAACAGACTGGATGATGGCAAAAGAGCCAAGGGTAGGATGGCGAATTTGCAAAGTAACTCTAAGCATTCTGATTTCCTTCTCCTTTTTCACTTTCCCTGGTCCCCAATTCTTCCCAGTCAGTCCTTGGAGCCAAAACTGGTCTGAACTCTCTACTCTGAGTGAGGAAGTAGGAGGAAAAGTATCTCATAAGGAGGAGTGACGCTTAGAACATATGCCACCCTTCTCAGCCTCATCAAGGAGAAGACTACAAGAAACCAACATCCACAGAGTTATCCAGGAGTCAGTGACTAGAGTAAGACCTCTCCTCAAATGGATTACAAAGAAGGAAGAATGGAGAAGAGCACGGTTGGGGGTTGTGGGAAACCAGTACACCTTGTATAGGAAACAGGTAGAGGCATGGGAAAAATTCCTATATCACAAAGGTACCTACCTGTCGGGGCAAAAGCAGGTGGCTCCTTGTTGGTTCCCAGGGCAGAGAGGGGTCATATGGCCAGAGCCATTAGAGTGGAAATGAGAGAAAGTGCTCAGGGAAACTACTATTTACCAACTAAGATAGACATATTTCAATACTTTTAACAAATGGTGCAGACCAGCAGCTCTGGGTAGAAGAAAGTCAGAAGGAACACCACAGGGTCATGAGGGCAAAGGGTAAAAAAAAAAATACCAAGATAAAATGTACCAACTTCAGAGTTTTTCGCTGCCCATAAGCCAACCCTGCCTGTGACATTAGTGCCACATTAGTGTTCCCGATACAGAATTGCTGTCAATCTCCTGTCTGTTTCCCCCCCTCACTTTTTGCCCACTTTGTTGGGAGCTTGAGGATAATGAAGATGAGGGTCTGGTACCCCATTAGGTACCCATCTCCCTCAGGGAAGAAGGGGGCAGGGTTACCTTCTTGCAGAGGACCATCTGGTGGTCAAACAGGAAGAAGACCCGCTGTTGGTTGCGGCCGTAGGGCTGGTAGATCCAGGCCATCTCCCCAGTGTAGATCAGCTCCGAGCTCCTGTCTAGGATGTCCTCGCCCTGGGAAGGACATGCGATGATGAGAGGCAGCCAGGCAGAGGATGGCACCATCACCTTCCTGGAGGCACCCAAGGCTGGGCATAGACTGGGACAGGAAGAGGCCAGAAAGGCCCTGGTAGAGACAGAGGGAGACAGGGACTCCTGGGACGCCTGAAAAAGCTTTACAGCTCTCTAAGCTAGGAAGATCCATTTTCTTATTTACCCCAAGGCCAAATGTGCCCCACCACCCCAGGACTACTACAGCTTCTCTACATCAGTTATCCTCTGGTCTTAGAAGTACCAGCTTCTATAAGTTCTCTCTCTCCCTGTCTCTGTCTCTTTCTCTCTCTCCAGATAGATAGATAGATAGACAGACAGATAAATAGATAGATATAGATAGATAATTAGATATAATTCTCCATCTCTCTTCTCTATAAATCTCTTTTTCTGTTCCAGTCTCTCAATCCCTGCCCTGGTCTCTCAGTCTCTAATACTTGAAGAATAGGCTTGAGTCTCACTGCTTCCCACATGAGTAGAAGGAAACAGGGGAGGACAAGAAGGAAGATGATAACAGAGGGAAAGAAAGAGAACCCACTCACCGTCTTACAATTGTTTTTCCTTCTCTCAGTTTACTGAAGTCTACTAATTAAATAAGAAACTTAACTGCCACATGCTTCCTTGGTCTGTTATCCAGAGAGCTTAGAATTACTTATCCTCCTTGCTACATAGAGTCAGACACAAAAAGGCACCAAGACACCTGACTCCTGGCTAATTCAATTCCACAGAGTTTCCAAGTCCTACCCGTTGTTTATGGCAACTCTGATAGGTCAGAAGTATGTTGTAGGTGTGTGTCAGATGTCAAGGTAGACCTGGCCTCTGTACTCAAGGAGCTTACATCTTCATGGAGGAGATAAATGCAGGTATGCTCAAAACTCATGAAACACAAGGTAAACCAACACCGAAGTCATGGGCACAGGAGTGTGTTCCAGGGCCTATGTGAAGATAGGGACAAAGAGTAGTGTCCCAAGACACAGAAGAATTAATATTTCCTGAGAACTTATATGGGTCAGACAATGTGCCAGATATTTTCAATCTATCTTATCTGAGCGTCACAGTAGCCCTGGAAAGTAGATATTTTTGCTCCTATTTTACAGTTTGAGGTACAAAAAGATCAAGTGATAAGCCAAAGTTGCCCAACTAGTTAGCTACAGGTCCATGACCCAACTCCAGTCTCTATAGAGTATGCTCACTCTTTGCATTATATTATACTGTCTTTAGGGCAAAAAGGCATTGGAGAACCAGTTCCTTCCTCTCTCTCTAGGTGTCAGTTTTCCCAGATGTTAAATGAGGTGTATGAGGATGATCTTCATGGTCTCAGAGATGATACCTTGATGCTAAGATCTCAGCCTTACACTCAAAAGCTTCAAAGCAAGGTTAGAGATGGAGACCTTTACATCTCCCAGAAATAATCAGAGGAAAACACAGATCAGGCAGGGTAGTAGGCCAGAGAGAGGGGCATCTAGAAATGGTGTATTCGAGCACACTATTTTTTTCCCAGTCTAAAGGATGGGAAGGAAAGGGGGAACTCAGTAGAATTATTTTCTAAAATAGAACCCCTGCAAAAAGCTCAGAAATACTGCTTTAACTCTAGGATCTAGGCTTAGTCTCAATATTACCCAGGAACTAGGTAAATACTCCTTCTAGAGGGGCTGACATACTAGCACAGAACCTCTGGTGGCCTGGTACTGGGAAAGAAAGCCACCAGAGTTGGGGAGCAGTACAGCGATTTCCTGCTGGAGGTTTGGGAAGCTGAGAGTGGTTCCCACCCTGATTCAGGCTAGGAAGATGTGCTATAGTCCACTTTGAATATGTATGAAGTCAAAGAAAACCATAAATGAGAGCCAATACCATAAGAAGATGGCCAGAATGACTTTTAAATATACCATTTACTAAACATGGATGATACGACCAGGAGGGCTACTCAGTATTATTTGGTCCATCCACTCCACCAGCCAGGGGCATCTCAATTCTTTTTTTTTTTCTTTTTTTGAGACAGAGTCTCCCTGTATCGCCCAGGCTGGAATGCAGTGGCATGATCTCAGCTCACTGCAAACTCTGCCTCCTGGCTTCAAGTGATTCTTGTGTCTCTGCCTCCCAAGTAGCTGGGATTAGAGACATGCATGTGCCACCACGCCCAGCTAATTTTTATATTTTTAGAAGAGATAATGTTTTGCTATGTTGGCTAGGCTGGTCTCAAACTCCTGACCTCAAGCAATCCATCCACCTCAGCCTCCCAAAGTGCTGGGATTACAGGCATGGGTCACCATGCCCAGCCTCAATTCGATTTTAATTACTTGCAACATGTAACTCAACCAAGGAGAAAAAAAAATTAAAATAATATTCCACTATGCTCACCAAGCTGACTAACCTTGAGCAACACACACGGTCTCTCTATAATCTAGTTGCCTCATCGTTAAAATGGGGATAATAACAGTACCCACTGCATTTGTGTGTTGTGAGGATTATTTAAATTAAAAAAACATAAAGTGCTTAGAAGGTACACATCATACTATAAGCTCAACATAAGTGATAACTACCTTGACTATTACTATATGTCCTAGTTTCTTTTTTTTTTAAATGTATTTTATTGCATTTTAGGTTTTGGGGTACATGTGAAGAACATGCAGGATTGTTGTATAGGCATATACATGGCAGTGTGGTTTGCTACCTTCCTCCCCATCACCTATATCTGGCATTTCTCTCCATGTGATCCCTCCCCAACTCCCCACCCCACACTGTCCCTCCCCTAAGTCCTCCCCACAGACCCCAGTGTGTGATGCTCCCATCCTTGTGTCCATGTGTTCTCATTGTTCAACACCCACCTATGAGTGAGAACATGTGGTGTTTGATTTTCTGTTCTTGTGTCAGTTTGCTGAGAATGATGGTTTCCGGATTCATCCGTGTCCCTAGAAAGGACATGAACTCATCGTTTTTGATGGCTGCATAGTATTCCATGGTGTATATGTGCCACATTTTCCCTGTCCAGTCTATCACCGATGGGCATTTGGGTGTATGTCCTAGTTTCTATACCTATCTTTGTCTCTTACTAATGTAGCAACCCAGTAAGTGATGTTTTGTTACTACCCCAAAACCAAAATCAGAGAAATTAGAAGTAATTTCTCCAAAGGGGCAGAACCTAGGTCAGAATCCCTCCAAAGCCTATGCTCTTATCCACCAAACCACATTAGAATGATAACCCCCCACCCATTCTCCTCCCACTCTCGCCAACCCAGGGGAACAAGCAGCTGCCATGGGAGATTTCTAAGGTGAGAATCTCTAAAGACCTGGGCTCTGAGTCCAATGCTGCTACCAACTTACTCTGGAGTTGGAAACTAGCCTAAACTCTTATAATCTGTTTTTTCATATGTAGAGTGGGAATATTAAAACAGTTTCCGTTTGACCCACTTCATATGGCTGCTTGAGTGCATCAAATGAGTTCATGGAAATGAGACAGCCCTCTCATTGTTTAGAGATCTCATCCTTGCTTCCTCTGCTCCACTTGTATCATACATCTCTTTGTCTTGCCCCAAAAAGTACAATTCTTTCCCAACATTCCCAACCATGGGCCTTCAGTTCTGTTTACTTCCTCCAGGATTTTGCTCACACTGTCCCCTCTGCTGGGAATATATTTGCCCCCACTACATGTCCAAGGCTACATCTCATTGATCTCAATATCCTCATTGCCCAGCATAGGGCCTGGCTTATGAGGGGAAATGCTCAAAACATGAGTCTCCTACTTTCACATATTTGCTCAAAATCCCTCCAGTGGCCCCCATCTCATTCAAACTAACAATCAGTCTTATGAAGACAGGATCTGACCTCCAGTCACCTCCCTAACCTCATTTGCTCCCACTCTCTCCCTCCCTTACTCTACTCTGCCCACACCGGCTTCCATGTTGTTCCTTTAGCACACACTCTCATATTTCAGGAACTTTGTGTTTCTTCTTCCCCCTTTCTGGAATTTTGTGCCCCAAGAAAGCCACATGGTTTGCTCCTTCCTCTCCTACAGGTCTGTTCTCAGCTGTTACTTCCACAGGTAGTACCCCCATTACTCCCTAACTTGTTATCCTACATTATTTTTCTTCAGAGGCTCATCCACCTGATAATGTATTATATGTTTGTTTGTTGCCTCTTTTCCCCACTGGAATATAAATCAATGAGAGTAGAAACTTTGTCCTGTTCACTGATGTATTTATAGAACCTAGAATGAGGTCTGATACAAAGTACTTGGTATTTAAGTACTCAATAAATACTGTTTGACAAATAAATCAATAGGTGTGGAATGAACAGCCAAAAACTACTCAAAGCTTTCCTGCCAGCGTATCCACCTTCCTTCCTTGGGGTCAAAGCCTGAGAGAAGAGGCCTCACCCCATTCTAATTCTAATTCACCCGATTACGCTTGATTTCACCCCATTCTAATTACAGGCCAATTGATGTGGGGCTGTAATCTGAGCAGATCCTGGGAAAGGACAAAGGAAATGTCACACTTTTTAACTAGTTTATTTTCAATGCCGCCTACTGACAGGTAGGCACAAATCCATCCAGCCCTACATTTGATCTTTTGGTCCCAGGAGTATGCCTCATCAAGCCACCTTAGCTTTTAAACAGATGCTTTTGCTACCTTCTTCATGCTGGGTTTTCTTGTTTCCTCCAACTTCTTTGGATTCAATCATCAAATAGTAAACTTGAACAGGTCCTTCGGTATTACACAACCAGGCTGGTAGGAGAAGGTGCCACAAGGAGGAAATCACAACCACACACAATCAAGCTCCCAAACATGAACTGCGTACTTAAGTTCCTGCTACAAATTTCCAGAAAAAAAAAAAAAAAAGATTAAAAAGAAGCTGGCCGGGATATGTTATCTTTCCCTTCTTTTCAAATGGATTAAATGAGTGTGCAAGGTGGCAAAGTGACAGCTCAATCAAACCTCAGCATCACAGAAATTAGAAATAGAAATTTCCCAAAAACTGTAGTCCCTTGGAATAGATTATTCTCCCTGCTGCTCGTGCATACTGCTCTAATGCATTGATTACTACTTAGAGAGATGACTGACACTTTTACTCATCCATTTGTTTTTCAGGAGTCAAGGGGGTTGGGATAAAAGGAGGGGTATTTCAGGAACTCTAGTCCCCACAGAATGGCAGAGGGCAGGGATAATAATCAGAATTGGGCAAAGAAACCAAAGATGTTCATGGAATAAGCTAAGAGAAGGGTCAGGCCTTGATATAATGCAAGGCTTCCCGCTCTCTAGCCAGACATTGATTTATTGAGTAGACAGTAATTGCCTGCTTGCTACCCTCCAAATTCCTCTTCAAGGGAAATTAAGCTCTGAAGGTTTCCCCTATGACTCCTCTTTTTCATTTGACAAATGAAGTTGAAATTGTCGTGCAGATGCTTTTGACAGCCATTCTGTTTATTCAAACATCTGGGAGGCAAGAGGGTGGCAGAGACAGCAAAATATGGCTTTTTTTTCTTTTTTTTGATTTGTATGGTCTGTTCACAGCAGTCCTTGGCAATCTGGCAGAATATCTCTCCCTACCTAGTCAACTTCTTGGGCATGTAAAATGCACAAAAAACCTATATTAGGGAACCTGTGAAACTGGGCTACCAATCGTAATAATCATCAAGCCATGGAGTATCCATGTCTTACTGCTTTCCTGGTGAGACTCCCCAGCACTCACCCACTGCCTGACTGGGATTTGGATGACCTCCCCAAGGTAGTCTCACTACCTTATTTAGATATAGACTTTTTATTACATACAAAAAGCAAGTCACTGCAGTATCACAAATAATAGCAATTAGGCAGAGACAGGCAGGAGGCTGAAGGAATATGTTGTACATTACTGAAAACACCACCACACAAGGAATCAGGAGATTAGATTCAAGTTCCAGCTTCGTCACTGACTTGCTGTGTGGCCTTGGTAGGAAATAAGCCTCTCTCTGCTTCTCTGTCTTCCACCATCATTGCAAGGTGCTTTGAGGGTAAGTGTGTGAGAGTATGTGTTTATGTGCATATGTGCATGTGTCTACACACAAGAATCATCAGGGTTGTGGGGGGAGTCCTCTAAGAGCCTTGGTGACTCTGATAATCTAGAAGTCGTTAAGATACATATGGCAAATATGACAGAAACTTTAGGCTTGGCCTCTGAAATATATCCATTAGGCTTTACTAGAGAAAAGACTTCCTAGAGGACAACTTCTCTGGAACTGTCAAGTTCCACAGTGACCTGAGAGTCTGAGAAGATGACCATGAAGAAATTTTCTTCTTATAAATTGCTATAGACTGAATGTTTGTATCCCCATAAAACTCACATGTTGAGAAACATAATCCCTATTGTGATGGTATTTGAAAATGAGGCCTTGGGGGATTATGGTCATGAGAATGAAGCTGTCATGAATTAAATGGGATCAGCATTCCATAAAAGAGACCCCAAAGAGTTCTCTCATCCCTTCTGCCATGTGAGGTTGCAATGAGAAGACAACAGTCTATGAAGAGGGCCCTCACCAGATACTGTATCTACTGGTTCCTTGATATTGGACTTCCCAGCTTCCACAACCATAAATTTCTGTTGTTTATAAGCCACCCAGTCTATGGTATTTTGTTATAACAACCTGAATGAAGATGTCAATTTAGATAAAGAAAGCCTTCACTAAACAGGAAGGTACACAGGATGTGTGGGCTTAGATGAGATGAGAGTACCAATCAATCAGGCTAACAAAGGAGGCTGAAACTGTTAGAACTGTGTTTTGTGGCCCCACCCAAACATGCAGGAAATTCCTTCTGAGATGCTAAGTCTTTAAATCATAGCTCAGTGTTGTTGAGTTTGGTGTTACTGAAGTTTCCTGGGTAGGCCAGGGAATTTCATGCTACTTTTGGTTCCCCATGGCTCCTGCTCCAAGGACTGATGTCCAGAGCACACAGGGAAATTGCAAGGTCTTCTAGGCATTGGGAAGTTGGGGAGATGCTCCAGAGAATAGGAAGACAAATGCTTCTGGGCACCTTCTCTTACAAAAAATCTCTGCCAACGAGAGAATAAGGCCAGCTAATCCACCATAATTTTAGAGTGTGTTAGAGTTGATGGGCTTGCTAGAAGTCATTTGGTCCAGCTCTTTGCCTCTAATCAGGCAACTGGCCAAAGCAAGGCCAACACAAGAAAAAAAAGACCCACAATTTTCTAGTAAGTCTGGCCCAGTGCTGGCTTCTGCTTAAGAGAATGAGGGTCTCTTCATCTAGACAAATTCCTTTCTCTGCAAATCAAAATATCCTTGCTGTTCTACTTATATGGTAACATTATCCTTCAAATATGACCCAAAAGGATGTCAGCTAATCACAATTGTGGTCTTTTTCAGCTGTCTACTTTAAGGTAGGACAGAGGCAGCAGAATAAAAGGAAGATGATTTTTTTTTTCTGGACCTTGGTTAAGCAGCTGTTTGTGAGGACAATGCTTGGTTCTGTTGGAATGAGCTAAAAATACATTAAATATTAAGACAGATACTACCTCTTAATCACTGAAGATGACACTTGAGTTGAGGCCAGTGGAATAGAGAGTGGGCTCTACCTCTATACTGTGACCACAAGGCTTAAGATTGTTAAACCCTCCCTAGTAGCATGTCCAGCCTCTCCCATCTTGGTTATTTCAGCCAGCAGACTATCAGATTGCATGACCTAGGCCTGTGAGACAAACGTGAAATGTCATTACTCCTGGTTCTCTTGGTAGGCATCTAGGAAGAGAAGATTTTCAAGACTTTAGCTTCTTAAGGCCTTCTGAATTCAGAGAAGTCATGGCTGTCTGCAATGAAATGGAAGGCTGCCAAGGATTATTTTAAAAACAGATGATAAAACTGGATTTGGCAGGGATGATGGTTGTGGCCTAGAGTTTACAGGCCTAATAGAGAGACCTAATAGATGTGTCAGGGTGAGGTAATATCATCGATAAAAAAACAGTATGTGGGCTGTCCTGCATGGCTGGGAACAAGAGAACCAATCTCATATTCTGTGTCTGGAAGTAAATTAGTATATACTACTTCTTATCTAAGTGTGAATCTATTGGTCATAAATCCAGAAAGAGCTTTGAAAGGTTACTGAGTCAACCCAATTATTCCCTGGCAATACCTAAAGAAATGGACTTTTCTTTTCTTAATGAGGTATCATCACAAAAATTTCTCCAATCTTCTTAAAATGTTATTCAAGCATCCAACACCTCTCATTAGCAGGAAATTTTACCTTGAGTCTAATCTAAATCCTTCCTGTTGCTCTTCAAATCCAATTCCTCTTCACCTATCCTTGGCTAAGGTGGGAAGCTTTTGCCAAGCTATTCAGATTCCCCAATACCCTGGTTGGCAAGTTTCCTACCTCCCAGTCTAGGACAGAAGCCTGCCACTGAGCAATCTTGTCAATATTCTCTAAACGCCGCTTGCGTTCGTTGATCTGTTGAGTCACATTTCTCATGACAGCCAAAGCAGCTGCCACATATCTGTAGTCACTGTGAAAACACAAGAGTACAAGTTGAATGAACCAATGTGCCAGAGAACCAATGTGCTAGGTACCAATCTTAACATCCACTCTCCTCTACTTCCTTAGTAACAGAGTGATGATTTTCAGATGGGAACCCACACCACCTAGAGTAAAAGACTAAACTTCCTACCCTTTGTTTCAGCAGAAATGACTGTGCAAGTAAGTTTTGTACATTGATATGTAAATAGAAGTGTTTTGTAGTGTAAGAATTAAAGAAAGAGGAGGGAAACAAGAAGGATGGCTTTTCAGTCAATAGGGCCAGGTTTATTTTGAATAAACCTGAGAGGGGCAGTTGGCCAAGTTAGGTCAGAGCCATACTCTTACAGACTAAGAGTTTTTAAGGATTCAGGGTGGGAGAGCTTATTAGAAGCTTAGACTACTTCTGTGTCTCTCTTTGTATTTATATGGGAGGGACAGTTTTGTGTCTGTTCCCATACATTCTTCTGCAGCTGTAGGAATATCCCGAGTCTGCTTTTAGCTTCCCTATCTTAGAGCACCTGAAGGGAAAGGAATATGCTTATTAAGGCCCACTGTTTTACTGGGGCCCACTGTATGAGGCTAATTGTCTCTTGGCAGTTATCCAAGAGACTTTTCCCCAACCGCCTGTGTCTGAGCTGTCATATCTGTGTTTTACTGTCTGCTCCTTCTGGCTGCTTATAGTTAGAAAATAAATGATTTCCTTGAAATGCATGAGACTAGAAAGGGAGCTGGAACTTAAAGTGGCGGTGTTTGTCTAAGATGATGGTCCTCCTGCTCTATCTATCAGGTAGGTCTTCAGGGAAATCACCTTTAAGGAAGAGAGCGTACCCTTCTTTAGCCAATCCTGATGCTTGGAATGTGGATATAATGGCCGAACCTTTGGTAGCCATCTTGGACCATAAGGACAAGGCTATTACCCTAGGTATAGGATAGCAGTTAGCTGTAGGGCGCTCATGTTTCTGATGACCATGGGGCCATCATACCAGCCATAAACCTCATAATACATACTTCTTTCACATGAGAGAGAAATGGATCGCTATTTTTTTTAACATCACTTTTTTTGTGTCCTATCTGATACAGCCAGCCAAGGACCAAGAAGGGAGCCTCACACATGATGCAGCATAGACCACCTTACTATCTCTTCCACCATCTAATTCTAGGGAGCTTCTTCCCAAAATCACTGTGAAATAACATCCTCACCTTTCCTTTTGCACAATATAGAAACAGAATGTAGCATAGTGGTTAAGAACACAGAGTCTGAAGCCAGACTTTGTGGGCTCAAATGCATTTTTCTTCATTGACTACCAGTGTGGCCTTTGGCAAGTCTCACTCCCTCTCTCAATGACTCAATTTCCTCATCTGTAAAATGGGGAAAAGTATAGTTTATTGAAGGTTTCAAAAATTAAACACAATCATCTATGTAAGCTATTTTACTCTTGGCACATAACAAATGTTAGCAGTATTATTATTATGAATCAAATATTTCTGTAATAGAGACATAACATGGGATGCCTCTTAAAACCCCCAGTCTCAGAAGTGTAACCCTTGGCCTCACTTCCTGGGACTCTGGAGAGCAGACGTCCTGAGAGTTACACATCCTGTTCAGTTTTTTTCTGCTGTTCTTTTCTGATTTCCATTTGAATGGCTCTTGGGAAAGGCAGATTGATAGTGAGATCTCAGCTATTCATTGGGGGTAAATGAACTGAGAAGACAAGAGGATGTATTACAGTTCAGTGTTAATACCTTTCCTTAGAGAAACTGAAAATAGCTTTGGTCACTAATCTACTTAATGTCTCAGTACCATTTTTTTTAAAAAAAGAAGGAGAAAAGAAATATGTGCAACAACCACCTTTTTCTTAAGACACTGAAGAATGGGTCGATGGACCAAAGAAAGGCATAGGAAAGGAACCTCTAATTGCCAGGGCACATCCTATGTAGTACCTACCTCCTCTTAGCTCACATCCATCACTCCAATCTGTGCTCTGCACACCTGTCAGAGCCATGGCTCTCAAACAATATTACATTATCACTTCCAGTGAAAGGCTTTCACTATACTTCCTAACCAGTCTATATTTTACGTCTGAGCTATCTGTGTTTTACTGTCTGCTCTTTCTGGCTGCTTGTAGTTAGAAAATAAGTGATTTCATTGAAATGTCTCAAGAGTAATATGTTAGAAAAGTCTTCTTTATTCTGAGCCTCAATGAATATTAGCTATTACCAGTTTTTCTTCTGGATCCCACTGCTGACTCATATTGAGCTTATGGCCAACTAACCCTTCCTAAGTCTCTTCAAAACACACTCTAGAAGCTGTATCTCTCTCAGTCTGTCCTTGAGTTATTTATTTCTTATCTTAGACCCAATGGAAACAATCTACATTTGGCTCTGTTACATTTCATTCTTTTACAGGTAGTTGCTCCAATGTATGGGGGATCTTTTGGGCTCTGCGACATCACCAAAGTTTCTCCTTGGTAAGATCTGAGCCTGACATTTAGAAGGAGGTAGGGTGAAGACAAAAGGGAAGATTGCAGCACAGAAGCTGCTAACATAAGTAAGTGTTCCTGCTCTTTGGACCCATTTTATGTTCCCTGTACCTTTCCTGTCTCTGATTTAAGGACATCAGTGCTTTAAGCCACTTTCTGTGAAGTAAAGCACAGAGCTGTACTATCCAACATGGTAGCTACTAGCCATATTTAATTAAAATAAAGTAAAACTTAAAATTTAGTTCCTCATTTGAACTAGCTATATTTCCTAGTACTTCAACAGCCACATGTGGTTGGTGATTACTATATTGAACAACACAAATATAGACAATTTGCATTGTTGCAGAAAGTTCTACTGGGCAGTCCTGGCATGAGAATGTTCATTTCCTCTACACCAAGACTACCCAGTCATGGATTCCTCACTGCCACTGTCCCATACTGCCTATTTTTGCCATCTTTAGCGGGCTGCCTTTATCAAAATGGCTAGAGGGGGAATGTGCCATCTCTAACCTGCCCTGCTAGTTTTAGCAGTGGGTGAGAGAAGAAAGGAATAGGCGGCTAACCCTGGTCAAAGACCTCAGATGAAGTCTGGGCCCAGCCTCTTATTGGGGAGAATAATAGAACAAATATTTTCTACTTCCAGACATGTCAGCTAGTCTTCCTCTTACATGCAGCCTTCATTCTCGTTAACCTAAGGAAGGTAGGGTAGGGAAAGTATGTCAATCATCTGTAAGCAAAGTCAGTATTCTTCTCTATTTATCATTCTTCATCTAATATTCTCCCTCAGAGGCAATTCTGACTGCCTGTATTTCAGGCCTACCTATCTGAACACTTATCTTACTAAGCTTCCAAGCTGGCATCAGCCTTTAATTGCCTTCAAATCCAAGCTACTCTTGACATGCATGGCAGAAGCCATCATCTTTTTTTTAAAATACGTATTTTATTGCATTTTAGGTTTTGGGGTGCATGTGAAGAACATGCAAGATTGTTGCGTAGGTACATACATGGTAATGTGGTTTGCTGCCTTCCTCCCCATCACCTATATCTGACATTTCTCCACATGCTATCCCTCCCTAACTCCCCACCCCCCACCGTCTCTCCCCTAGATCCCCGCTACAGACCCCAGTGTGTGATGCTCCCCTCCTTGTGTCCATGTGTTCTCATTGTTCAGCACCCACCTATGAGTGAGAACATGTGGTGTTTGATTTTCTGTTCTTGTGTCAGTTTGCTGAGAATGATGGTTTCCAGGTTTATCCATGTCCCTAGAAAGGACATGAACTCATCGTTTTTGATGGCTGCATAGTATTCCATGGTGTATATGTGCCACATTTTCCCTGTCCAGTCTATCATTGATGGGCTTTTGGATTGGTTCCACGTCTTTGCTATTGTAAACAGTGCTGCAATGAACATTCGTGTGCATGTGTCCTTATAATAGAACGACTTATAATCCTTTGGATATATACCCAGTAATGGAATTGTTGGGTCAAATGGAATTTCTATTTCTAGGTCCTGGAGGAATCGCCACACTGTCTTTCACAATGGTTGAACTAATTTACACTCCCACCAACAGTGTAAAAGTGTTCCTATTCTTAATACAGATTTCTGAGACATACCAGAAGGGGCTGTCCATGTCGTGGGGCTTGTGCTGGGCCCCACAAGTCACTCTGAGGAAGGGTAGAAATTGATGTAGCCTGCCACTGCCTGAGCTACCTTATTGTCACTCTGGAGTGCAAGGGGTGGGAGGAGAGGGGATCAGGGACCTAGATGGCAAAAGGGCTTTGAAGCAGTAGTTTTAGTCACAAGGTAAGAATGGACAGAAACAGCAAAGCCCAGGCATATGTCCTTTTTGGTGCCCACCAAGCCCCCAGAAAGCTCTGATTTTGTTTTGGCTTAAGAAACTAACATAGCTTTGAGCTGTGCTTAAAACCTTTTTTTCTGGAACTCTTACTATGAATTATGCCATATATAATATACTTAGTGAATATTATCAGTCCACAAGTATGATTTAGCTCCACTGCTTGGTCTACTTGAGCTTTTCAGACCTAGATGCTTTAGGCCTTGGGTGTGGGTCAGTTGGTTTGGTTTACATCAAGCATGTGGGCTAATGTTTGGGTTTATTTTTGAATTGATGTTATTTCTCTAACAAATCATATCTTATATGCTTTAGTGGTTCTGGATCCGTAAGCAGATTTCAGGTTTTAACCCAAACATAGTGGTACTGGACCCTCCTTTTGAGTGAGTAACAAAGCCAGTGATAGCTCTGCCTTCTGAACACTGTTGGCTATGAGGCAATCAAGAATGTATCATCCTATTTTGTAGATAAGTTAACAGAAGTTCAAAAAAGGCAAAAGGACATGTATTCTCAATGAGGACCAACAGATGGAGGAAGTTCCCTCATTCACTCCTGCGTCCCTTGATCCCTTACCTGTGGTCTTGGGCAGTATACTTTAGGAGCTCAGCCAACTGTAAGGGATACTTGCAGATCTTCTGCACTGGAGTCAAAAGGAAACCATCGATAGCAATGTCAATCATCTGCTGCAACAGGCGGCAGGCCTCAAAGAAGTGCTGGTAGCGACTGTCCTTCATCAGCTTGGAGAGCTCCATGCAAGCATCCAGGTGGTTGTTACAATACTCAGAGTATATCCAGAATCCATCTTGCTGTGGGCAAAGAAAAAAGGGAAAGAAAAAGGCTACCAAAAACCCCAAAAGAAGTCTTGAAGTAACGGAAAGACAGATCATATTCTTAGGCAGAAACATTAAAATGATAATGAAGTCAATTATTCTCAAACCGATTCATAATAAAATATCAGAAAGTTATTCAGTAACTAGACAAACTGACTATAAAGTTCTTATAGAAAAATGAATAAAGAGCAACAGTAGGGACATTCTCTAAAAGAAGCGTAATGAGGGGACATTGGCCCTGACAAGAGTAAAACACAGCATGGCAATGAAACTGTGTGAATGGATCAAAAAAAGAGAGAGATCAGTGACTCTACTTCTGGCAATGACAGACTCAGGTGTTGTAGACAGACTCTGCCACTGAGAATAGCTGGAAAAGCTAAAAAAGAAATAAAATAAATCACTATCTGTTTGAAGGAATCACATCATCCAGAGCCTGATATTATCTCCATAAAATGTCCCTAAGGAAATGTATTGTGATGAAGTGTTCAGAGGTAAGGAATCTAAGATGTATTCAAGTTAAACACTAAAGGCTGGGAAAAAATGTATGAGTATGTGTATATGTATGAATAAATATGTATATGGAGAGGGGAAGATATGAGAGTCAGGAGAGAGAAGGAGAGCACACTCAAATGACAAAACAAAATGGTGAAATGTTAACGACAAGTGAATCTCGGTATTTTTGGTATGGTTCTTATTTTTCAACCTTTCCATAAGTTTGAAATTATTTCCAAGTAAAGTGTTAAAAAATCTATAATTTTTATTACATAATGATAAGTACTTAATAAAAGATAACATGATACATTAGAGTAGAAAATATTTATAAAACCCAAGAGAAACAATAGGCAGTAAAAACCAATCAACAAAGTATCAAGATGCAGTTATTACATAAAGAGTTGAAAAACAAGCAAAATAGAACACACAAAAAAATAATATACCATGATCAGGTGGGGCTTATCTCAATCTAATTCACCACATTAACAGATTAAAGGAGAAAAAGTACATGATTGTTTCAATAATGCAGAATAAGCGTTTGAAAAAGTAAATTTATGATAAAGACATCAGCAAACTAGAAATAGAAATTACCACAATGTAATAAAGGGCACTCATGAAAAACCCTAAGCTAATTACTTGGTAAAATATTGAATTCTTGCCCCTAAGATCAGGAACAAGACAAAGATGCCTGTTCTCACCATTTCTAGTTAACACTGTACTGTGTATCCTGACCAGAGAATTAAGAAACAAAAAGAAATAGACAGAATATAGACTGAAAAAGAAGAAATAAAACTGTCTTTTTTCAGAGATGGCATAACTGTATATGCATAAAATCCTAAGAAATCTACAAGAAAAAATACTGGAAGCAATTAGTGAATTCGGTAATGTGTCAGGACACAAAGTCAATGTATAAAAATCAACTGCGTTTCTGTGTAATAGCAACAGACTATAGGAAATTGAAAATGTAAAATACCATTTATAGGCCTGGCGGTGGCTAAAGCCTGTAATCCCAGCACTTTGGGAGGCCGAGGTGGGCGGATCATGAGGTCAAGAGATCGAGACCATGGTGAAACCCCATCTCTACTAAAAAATACAAAAATTTTGTTGGGCCTGGTTGCGCACACCTGTGGTCCTACTACTCAGGAGGCTGAGGCAAGATAATTGCTTGAACCTGGGAAGTGGAGGTTGCAGTGAGCTGAGATAGTACCACTGCACTCCAGCCTGGCGCCTGGCAACAGAGCAAGACTCTGTTTCCCAAAAACAAACAAACAAACAAACAAACAAAAAAACCATTTATAATAGCAGCCAAAAAAATGTTAAATACTTAGAAATCAACTTTTAGGAGAGGATGCCAGTAAGATGGCAAAGTAGGAAATATCCTTCCTTTTCTCAGCAAAGAACAACAGTTTGGTAGCTATCTATGAACCAAAAATAATTCTCGAAGTGCTTAGGAGTCCACTTAAGAAGACACAGCAATATAGTGAAAAAAAAAAAATCAGAAAACAAATACATGAAAAGAGTAGGAAAAACAGTTTAATTTTGCCTGCATCACCCCATCCCCATTGCTGGTACTGCTCAGTATGGAAAGGAAACTCCCTGGATCTTGTGTCCTACACACAGGGAAAAGGAGAGTGGAGTATACAACCAGCTTCCCCAGCTTTATGGGACACTGCCCACATGACCAGCTTCAGTTTCATCCCACCCAGATCTCTGAGAAGACGGATATAACCTAGATGTCTGGAGACAGCAAAGAGCAAAGAATAGAGACCAGTTCTAATAGTAGCAGCAAAGTAGCAGGAGTCACAGTGATCTTCAATGGCCTGCTTGTCACAGGGCCCCAATAGGCCTTGCTGTCAAAGACATCAACAGCCCTCATAGCCACTGGGTACCTTCTGTAGATTTTACTTCTCAGGATCCTTCAGTGTTCACAGTCACAGACCCCAGCAGCTTTTTCTGCAGAGGACCCTAGCAGCTTTCACTGCTGAGAGAACCAACTGCTAGTATAGTAACAGCAAACGCCCTGCAGCCTATACTGCTAAGGGCCCATGGGTTGTGTTTTTCTTCCTTCTCAGTTTTAGGAGAAAAAAAAAATGTGCTTGAGTCATGACTCTTCTTCTTCTAACTTCCTGGAGCCACCAAGAGCTGCCCGACTGCTGCTATAGTTGCTATATAGCCCAGTGGAAAGGGGTGATGCAGGCCAACATCCTTCATATTTGCCAGATCTCTGATCTTCCAGTGCATTCCCTCCCCATGCCCAAAATTGCCTGAGCTACTTCTATCACAGGTGCCTTGGCCAAAGGACTCAGCACAGGAACCTTTGCATTTTCTAGGTACTTAAGCCATTACTGGGCTGGGGCATCTAAGGAGGCGGTAGCTGGGATGGCTCCAGCTACCGCCTCCTTGGATGCTTTGGCCCAATAACCCAGCACAGCTACTGTGCATGTACCTACAAATGGCCCTAGAGTACCAAACTGGGGATTCCAGTCTCACTACCACGTGTTACGAAAGCTGACCCATGCAGACAGGCTATCACACACTGCCAGACCTGTGCACACATAAGCAGCTGGCCATGCCTCTGGTATCTTACCTCATCACCACACTTGCACCCATAGCTGGCCCCTGTAGCCATAAACACATGGACACCTCCAGCTCAGACCTGCAGCTGCTCATACACAGACAGCCTGGCTAACCCCTTTAATCATGTAGATATAAGACAGCCAGACCCCATAACTACTTGTATACCCACAATTTGCCCTAAACACGACTAGTGACCCAAGTCCTTGCTACCCAGCATAGGTCCACAGCTGGCCACAGCTGCCATGCATGTGCCTGTAGCCAGTCTCTCCAGTAAAGTGTGTGCACAACACTAGCTCTAGTCTCCACCACTGCAGGCTCTTACATCTAGCCAGTGAATACAGAGGTAGAGCTGAGGACCCCAACAGCTCTCATAGCCACTATGAACCTTCTGCAGCTCTTGCCACCAAGGACCATGGCGTTGCCAACTGTATAGATCCTAGCTGCCTGAGCCAACAAGAACTCTTCTTTGGGCTGAATTTGACTGGGGTTCTCTGACCTTTCTGCACCTGGATGTTTTCATCTTTCTACAGATTTGAAGGTCTGGGGCTAATTATTTCTTTAAATAAGCTTTTTTTTTTTCTCTTTCTCTCTCTCTTCACCTTCTGAAACTCCTGAATTTTACAAATGTTAGCTCTCTGGATTGTGCCCCATAGATCCTGTAGGCTTTCCTCATTCCTTTTCATTCCTTTTTTCTTTTTCTTCTCCGACTGGATGATTTAAAATGATCTGTCTTTGAGTACACTGAAACACATTACAATCAAACTATAAAACATCAAAGACAAAGAAAGACTTATGAAAAGAACAAAAGAAAAGAAGTATATCCCATAGAAAGGGTCCTAATAAGGCTATGAGCAGATTTTTCAGCAGAAACTTTGTATGCCAGAAGACAATGGGATGACATATGCAAAGTGTTGAAAAAAAAGTATTTTACCCAGCAAAAATATTCTTCAAAAATGAGAGAAAAATATAGAATTTTCCAGACTAAAGTACCTAGCTAAGGGAGTTTATTACCACTAGACCTGCCTTGCAGGAAATGTTAAAGGAAAACAAAAGGTAAAATTAAAAGGCTGCTAATCAGTAATATAAAAACATATGAAAGTATAAACCTCACTGATAAAGGTGTAATGGTGGTGTGTAAATCACTTATAACTCTAATATAAAGGTTAAAAATTATTAAAAATAACCATAGCTGCATTAACTTGATAAAGGATATACAATATGAAAAGATGTAAACTGTAATAGCAACGATAAAATGGGAAAATTAAAATGCAGAACTTTGGTATGTGACTGACATTAAGTTGTTAATAGTTTATATAAGCCTCATAGTAACCACAAAGGAAGAACCTATGTTAAATATACAAAAGATAAAGATAAATGAATCAAAGTATTCTGCTATAGAAAATAATGAAATCACAAAGAAAAACAATGAAAGGAAAGAAAAAAAGAGCTACAAATCATCCAGAAAATAACTAACAACATGTCAATAGTAAATCCTACCTATCAATAATTACTTTAAATGGTAATGCATTAAATTCTCCAATCAAAGGATATAAAGCACCTGAATGAATTTATTGAAAACAAAACCCAAATATATGTTGCCTACAAGAGAATCACTTCACCTTCAAGGACACCCTAATTGAAGGTGAAGGGATAGAAAAAGATATTTCATGCAAATGAAAACAAGGAGAGAACTATGGTAGCTATACTTGTATCAGACAAAATGGAGGTTAAGTCAAGTCAAAAACTGTCAGTAGAAAAAAAACAAGGCCATTATATAATGATAAAGATATCTATTCATCAAGAATATATAATTATTTGTAAATACATATGAATCCAACAGCAGAGCAAATAAATATATAAACCAAATGTTAACAGATCTGAAAGGAGAAATAAACAGCAATACAATCATATTAGG